TGAGTAGGACCCAGTTAACTGGCCCTTTGGCAAGTGTTAGTGTTGTTACTGGCTTTTTGGAAGTGTCGAGTCGGAACCTGGAGTAATAGGCAACATAGTACCTGACTAGTTTAATACTTTTTTTAGTGTTTACTAAATTTTTTTTTTTTTACCATTTTGAATATGAATATAACCGTAATTAGATCAATTAGAGACGAATTTCGATATAACTTCACGAAAAATGAAAGTGAAATAATCCAATTAATCGAACGAAAAGAACAAGAAAAACTCTAACTATTACAACAAAAAGAAAAGTCTACTCTAGGTTAAATACTGAACAGGAAAAAGAGATTGACGAAATTATTGAAAATATACAAAATAAAACGAGGAATTAGAAATACTATCGGTTTTTTAATGAAGATGTTCATCGAAAATTAAAAAAAAACTTAAAGAAGATGTCCCTAAGAAAAAACGAGATCTTGTACAAAAAATGGAAACGGAAAAATTATGTATTTTACATATGATAAAATGTTTCAATTATGATGTAATTAAATTCAATATTTACAATGACAATAAATAAATCTTGGATTATTTTTCTCTTTTGATTTTGTAAATTTCATGTTAATTAAAATAATACCCAAGCTTAGGCAACGATTACATACTTGATTTTGGTGGCGATACTAGGTGAATTGACCTAAGGCTGTTAATGATTACATTAGATTGCTATAAAAGCTAAATAAAGTAATTTATACTTCAGTGCTACTACTAATATTACTACGAATTAAAAAATGTTGTATTAAAGATTACTGTATATTATAAATTTTATCCGGAATAACATACACTGGGTAAAAAACTATAGTGTTTAATCTGGAGTGGTAACTCTGACGTGGTTTTGTTTTAATAGTTATTCTGCAGAGTGGCCTGAGATTGAAAACATAAATATGCACAAATAAATTTTATTGGTTTTTTATTTCATTTGTTTTATATAAAGTTTATCAGTTTATATCATAAGTTGAATCAATGAATATCGGGGAAACAACATGTACCCGATAGTCTCAAATATCTGTTGTATATTAGCAGCATATATCGGGAGATAGATCGATATCAGTGACATAACAGCAAAATATTAGGATATCCGATATCTTACACTTATGCCCAGAGTGCTAAGAGTAGGTCCCAATATTTTGCTGTTATGTTACCAATATGCTACAGGTATTTAGGGGAACTATCGGATACATATAGTATCAGGAAACTTGTCTCCCGATATGTACCAGGTACTCGATATTCATTTGATTCAAGTATATATTTTTGATAGTTTTCACATTTTTAGTTTAAGCCTCGGAAATATAAATAGTATTAACCTATCATATGGAGATTATATTTTTATCAAGTTTTATATCATGAGTATAGTCGGCATCACTAGTCCATAACAACTTGATTATGATAGTCAAGTTTCCTATTGGATTCAGAATTCCTAAACAACCTTCTTGATTAGATGCTAATGTTTTAGCGAACTTAAATAATACTAACCATTTTTTAAGCTCGAAGAACCAACACGGATGTTATTTTCGGAGCATATATTTTATTTTTATCTGATCAACCAATCAAAATCCATAATTTACGAACACACAAAAAGTCTGCTCAATATATGTCTCTACCTGTAATGTTTTTCGAACAACTATGATGTTATATGCACATCAGCTAGTTGCAGATACTGAAATTAAAAAAAATATTATTGACTAAATAAATAATTGTTTTAATACAGTATATTTTAGTATTATTAGCTATATTTTCTTTTAGTATGGATTAGAACATAATAATCAACAATCTTTTTATCATAATTATACGTAGCAAAAATAATTCTGATACTCATTATTGAGTTGAAATTGAATAATTAACACAAACCAAGTGTATATCAAATATTTACTAATATTAATTATATATATACTGTGTATATATATTATATATATATACTATATATATATATATACTATATATATATATATATATATATATATATATATATATATATATATATATGTTGTGTATATAAGCAGACTATTGATATGACTGTCGAATGATTGTGTGTAGACACACACACATGGAGG